CTCAGCCTTACACCAAGGCCAGTTTCATTGTCATCTTCTCTCTAGGTTCTTCTGCTCCAGTCATCACCAGGGCATGGGAGAGCCCTTCAGCTCTTCACAAAGACAACGTGATTCACATCTGTTACATGCTGGCTTTTAGGCTCTCCCCGTGGGTCTAGGCATATGTGGTGGAGTATCATGATTTGTTATTTTCCTTTGAAATATATATGTAGCTGTTGTTCCTCTGCTGGAGAAGGCAAGGCCAAACCAAGTGCTTTGCACATGGAATGGAAAATGGTACATTTTGCAATGCTCCTTCCTTCCTGGACAAGTTTGTGCTACAGAGTCATAGTGGCTCTCAGTAAGGCTTCGTCCAGCAGAGAGAGCTTATTCATCTAGTAGAGTATTCAGCTGTGCCAAGATTTCCATCCTCCAGCGTTAAGCAGCCTTGTAGATGTCCTGGACTGACATGATTGAGCACCCTAAAGCCAGAAGTCTGAGAACTGAGTTTGATTACTAAGTTTTATTTAGGGCCGCTGATTGCTCAGAGAGGAACAGGTACTTTCTTAAGCCCAATGGCATCTCCAAGCATACTACATACAAGATATCTTTTGTAATGATATTTTTATGTATAAATACATATATATATATATATATATACACACACACATACCCATTTGCAGTTGGTCATGACTCATCAATTGATTATGCAGCAGAAGAGAATTATACCGAAGAGTTGGCCTTTCCAAATCAAACATATATCTCTCTGATAATTGTCACCCTCCCCAGGAAGTTAAGAACTGCAGCTGGGACTTGAGTCAAATTATGACATTTTGAGTTACTGGCAAAGAATTTTCTTTTGGCTTCTGTAAATTTATAATCTGAAGTTTGAGGTTGTCTTCTTTTACAAACGCTTCTCAGATTAGGTTACATGCAGTACCTCCTTGACTGTATGTATTCTTAACAATGCCTGAAGTGATGAGTGAAAAACATTCTAAGAAGAATTTTCCTCTGCATCTTCTAAGGCCATATCCTCCAATGTGAATCATGAATGACTGCAGCCTTGCATTTTTATCACATACTCTGTTACTGCTCTCCCTCTCACTCATCTCAGGCAGTGAAACTAGATTACTCATCTCCAATTTTATTAGCTGTCGGTTTCTCATTTTCGTGTTGTACTGCAACCCTACGAGTTTTCGAAAGCACTTATTCCAGGGGAATGATATATCTTCTATAACTCATGAGCTGAATATAAACTTCCTGAGATCATGGTGCCTTTGCTGAAGGGAATTTATACAGCCGTATACACCAGAAAGTCATTGCAATTTTATAATTTTAAAATACTTCTGAGGTTGTACATCTATTCAGTAGTGACTCTTTTTACATTTAAAGGCATCAGGGAAAATTTCTGCTTCTGACCAAAAAGGTGGTGAGTGAGATGCAGAGATATCGTGAGAAGCAGTGAGACCTGGGGTTGCAATCTGGTTCCCACTGAACTCCATGGAGAAAGCAATTTTGTGGAACAAGAGGGTATCTTTGCTGAAGAGAAGGAATTGCAGAATGTTACAAAGTCAATTTTATTTCCTCAAACTGTGGGAGGTGTAAGCTCAGTCAGGCATTGTTAGTAAATAAGATCTAGAGCACTTAAAAGAAGGACCCAATCACAAATTCAATTGGTCCATTAACTACATGTAATATTATTTACCTAAGTGGCCCTTCTGGACTATTTCATAACTCAGGTTTATAACCTTTTTAAAGAAGATCAATATTACTGAGCACACAGCTCTGAGCATGATGAGAGTCAGGCCGTTTCAGTAGTTATGGTCCATGATTTCCAGACCTGAAGTTCAGAGTAGAAATGCAAAATGAAGAAAATACTCTCCATGAAATACTAAAAAAGAAAAAACAGCCTTGGAGAGAAGGATGGAGGGGAGCAGTGAAGTAAGATGTGTTGCAAGAGATCAATTCTTTTATTGGGCTGATACAACTAGAAAATACAGGGAAGCTTTCCAGCGCAGGAAAACCCTTCTGCAGACCTGAGAGAGAAGATGTGGTGACATTTAAAGCCACACACACAGTTTTGCCAACATGTCAGGGTGAATCTCCAGTAGGAGGGAACAACCAACCGCTCTGTTTGCATCTTGGCAGATGGGGTGTTTTGTTGTCTGGTCTAATGTGTGATGTGAGTTGGCTGCTCATACTGAATCTCATCAAGTGGGAAAGGTAGCTCTTGTCTATTGATCTTGTGTTCAAGATCTAGTATTTGATTTGTTCCTCAGGTAATCAAATGCTCATTGTAACATGTCCATCCCAAGAGTCCAGTTCAAAAACAGGCAGCAGGAGACCCCAGTAAACCCACCTGTGGCAACTGTGATGCCATTTCACTCTTCAGACTGAAAAAGTGGCCCTGTTGATGCAGGGGATAGATATGTCTGAACTGAGTGTTGGAAGATGCAGAGAAGTTTGTGCAGGGATAGAAAAACCACTTTGTGTTATTAGACAAAGTAATGTGTCTGGAAACCTTCCTTCCCCAAACCAGGCAAGCTATTTCTGCCAGTTATGGATGCTTTTCAGGGGCTAAAGCTCTCATTTCTGTGTCAGGCAACATAGAAGTGGTGTCAAGCTGAAATGGCTTGAAGATTTGGACTAATAGCTCAGGGTGGAGGGTGACCCAACTGGAGACACATGATAGAGTCCAAATGGAGTGGTAAGTCCTCTTCCCCTTATCTTGTGTAGTTTGTTATGTGGTTTTCCTACACCTGTTTGTGCTGTTTTGGTTTTATTGCAGCTTCTTATGTGCTTGAAGTATTAACAAAATGCTTTCTTGGACTGGGGTTGTACTGGGAGATGAGATCTCATTGAGAATTTAAGGTATCAAAAGCTTTCTTTTCTTTTCTTTCTGCAAAACTGTTGGAAAGGAAAGGGATCCAATTCTGGCATGATGTTTCATAAGGTGACATTTGTTATAACTCATTGCAAATGTTACTCACCATCTACAAAACATGCAATTAAACTAAAGAGCAGTGAAAAATATCCAGTTCCACTTTAGCAGCTGCACTTGTCGCCAGAATCCCTCGGGTTTTTTGGAGCCAACAGATTTCCCCCAGAGACCCGCACAAGGTGGCTACTGTCCTCTGCCACCCATCCCACCATTTGGTGTTCCCTGCTCCTGGGAGCCAGACTGTCACGTGAGGACAAAATTTCCCTTCCCATCTGGGCTTATCCTTACTTTCCCAAAGATCTCTTTGGTCCTTACTTGTTATCAGATCTGTTGTGCATCCTTTTGTGTCTTGTCAGAATTTCAGTGGGAATTGGCTGGACCCCACAGGGATAATATTTTCAGACACAAAATTTGAAAAATGACCTGTGATCCTTACTAATTTTGAAAATCAGAGTAACTGGTTTTACATGTAGTTTATTGAGACTTCAGGCTCCTAAGTCACTCGAGATTGTTCCTTTAGGTCTAAAAGCTTTAGTGGCATAATGTTTCTGTAGAAAATAAGCCAATATATTTATGAAGGTTTCTATTCACATCATAGATCCTTTTGCCTCTCAACACCTTTGTGTGTGTCTTCAGGTTGAAGCCTGTGTGCAGAGGGCTGTAGCTCTGGAGGGCAACAAACAAAAGCTCTTCTCATGTTTGTAGGAAACCAAGATACTAAGAGGGCACATTTCTGAGGTGCCAAACGCCTTGTTACACATCTCTGGCTCCACAGGAAATTCGCAGATGTAACTTTGCTGTATGCTACAACCACCCACTATTTTGCAGTGTCAGCTGGGCAAGAGCTCAGATCCACCCACTCCTGCCACACCGGGCCCCATACACTGGAGCTAAAGGCAAAATGCAAAGTGGTTCTGCTGAACATGGTTCCCTGATGGCATGCAGTGAGATGGTAAGAACAGAACCCATGGAGTCTCACTCCCAATTCGGCACCTGAACCACAAGATCCCCCTTCTCATTATCTCTTTATCAAAATCTCCTTTTTCCCCTGGATAGGGCACTAAAATGGAACAAAACTCTGGCTAATTTGCTGCAGGAAACCATTGAGCTTTGGGAAGGACATGAAATAAGTCATCCAATTAGTTACAACTGCTGATATCCCCTAGTCCTGATTAGGTGTGGTTTATCAATGCCAAACAGAGGTAGACAAGCACAGGGCCTTTTTTTTTTTTACGTGTGAATACCTCTCCAGCCCACATTTCCTGTGACTACAGTCACCTGCTACGCTCTTTGAGGCATGTAATTTATTCAGCTTGCTACATTTGTTCCAGGGCAGGATTTACTCCTCATTTTCCTAGACCATAAACAACATCACTGCCTCTGGAGAGCAAGGGTGGTGGCTTTCTGTATCAGCCTGTCTTTAGGTCCTATTTATAAATGAGGAGAGTGAGAAAATATGTTTAAAAACATGCAAGCTTTAAAAATAAAACTGTGACCTAGTCAAAGAGTAAACATTAGGGTAAAATAAAAACCTATTTTAAGAGATGGAAGCAGAGAAGCAGCAGCAAAAATAATCAAAATAAATCTTATTACTGAAATAGGAGGATGTAAATCAGCAGCTCCCATCACTGACAGTTCAGAGATACCGAGGACTTGTCTCAGAAGTGAAGGAGGGAAGTTAAAAACATCAAGCAGGAAATAAAGCAAAGATGAGAAATCCATCTATCTGAACATGCAATAGATTATCCATAAATGACAAGATCATTCTTCTGACCAGATAAAAGAAATCAATGGCATAGTGTTTAAACCACATATAAAAATATACTGTCTGTCATTCTGTGTACCTCTTCTGAGCAGTAGCGTAACCTTTATTTTTTCAGGTAGCCTTTTAATGTGGGGTTGCTCAGGGGGTGTTACAGTCACTGTGCTGAGAATAAAACAGCTTTAAAAGGGATTGTAAGCTTTTACTGTGACAGACCTGCGGAAATTTGTCCCCTGTGAGGAACGGATAGGGGTTGCTTGTCTGTTTTGTCACTTACACACACTGCTTCTTCCCCCACAGGTTGCCTGGTCACTATGAACAATGGCCCAGCTATACTACAAAAAGGTAAACTACTCGCCGTACAGAGATCGGATCCCACTACAGATCGTGCGAGCGGAGGCAGAGCTCTCAGCGGAAGAGAAGGCCTACCTCAGTGCTGTGGAGAAGGGGGACTATGCCAGTGTGAAACATGCCTTACAAGAGGCAGAGATCTACTACAACATCAACATTAACTGTATGGATCCTCTTGGTCGCAGTGCCCTTTTAATAGCCATAGAGAATGAAAATCTGGAGATCATGGAGTTGCTTTTGAGCCACAGTGTGTATGTGGGAGATGCTCTGCTGTATGCAATACGGAAAGAGGTGGTGGGAGCTGTGGAGCTGCTGCTGAATTACAGGAAGCCGAGTGGTGAAAAACAGGTTAGTCAGTTGTTCCAGTTCAGTTTTAAGCTATTATCCTGCGTTAGGAAAGTGGTACTGCACAGAGGGGTGCTGTGCAGGAGTCATCAAACAAAGGCCTTAATTTCGGTTCATTGCTTTAAATGCCAGGAGTAGACGTGGGCAGTCCTGTTTGGATGACAGCTTTCCAGTTGGAGCAAACATGTTCTGCCTGACTTAAATAGTCAGCATTTTCAGTTTCACTCGGTGTTCTTTGCAGTCTTACAGTGTTTGTGGACATACTGATTTATAGGTTGATTTATAGATGCGCACTGTGTAAAGGAATTTGGGGCTGTCCGAAATTATATTACAATTTATAAATATGAACTATTGCCATGCTGTTGTACTGATACTAAGTGGAATTGTTTTTCATAGGTAAATCCTGAAAACACACAAGCTTATAAATAACTGTAAGCCAGCAAACAATCTGCTAGACTTCAGTACTTAGCTGTAGTGCAGACATATCATCTTGGTCTCCATCTCCAGAGAGCTCTAGTTCAGAAATGCTGAGGTAGTACATCATGTTACAGCATGAGCTAAGCCGCTGTATATCTTAGCAATGAACAAGTACGACTCGTAGGAAGGATCCTTAGCTACAAAGCCATCAGTAGGTTACATAAGGATCTTTGTGAAAACCCACAAAGTCTGAATCCTGTCACTTCAAGTGTCACTGTCCCCAAGTTTTTCTATTGGATTTGTTTTGTTGTTTTGGGGGTTTTTTTGCTTCTTTTCATTTGCAAGTACTACTGACAATAACTAGAATAGTTTATAGACATTCCTGACTACTGGCAATTGTTGTATGTTCACTGCTCAGAAAGAAACATTCAAAACTTGGATAATCCACATATATCAGGCCTCATTTTGAAGTCTACTTGAACACATCACTCTGTGTGAGAAGAAAATTACTAATACCAGTCAATCACAGAAGAAAATGTTTTCAATGGATAGGCCTCTTAGTATGTAGGTTTTCAGTAGTAATTTTATGTAGCCAAAGCAAACAATAAGGGTCAACCCTGACAACATTCAAGAGTGATCAGCTTCATACTTAGAAATGGCAGTATTTGCGTGCTATGGCAATGTGATTCTAATGTGTGGTTTAAGCACCAGAGAGATGAAGAAGCTCTTCCATCAGACCTAAAAGTTTAAATGCTAGTGTTAGGTTTTAGTCTGATAAAATATAAGTAGCAAAATATGAACCATACATGGAGAAGGAGCCCTTTTTTTCTTGGTCTTCTAGAATCTTTGACCATCCTATAGACCAGCAGGACAGAAAGTAGAATAGAAGAAAAGTTTTTCGGTAGCATGAGGAACTGCCAGTAACTATTGCAGGTTAATGACAAGTTTCTCCTGAAATGCCATGGAAAGCAAGTGGTGGGATTCATGGGGATTTCTGTAAGAACTACTGAATACCAAAACTTGTGTCCACTCAAATTCACAGCCTTGCTGCCTTAACTGGACAGAGGCAGAGGTCCATGGAGTAAGACTGATTTATTGAAGATGAAATGTAGCTCCAACGTCTCTAGTTTGGTGCTGCATTTCATAGTAGGTCTGTTTAATTTCTCTGTATCTCTGTGCCAGTGTGCAGCTATCCTCCTGTAGCTGGGTTTGTATCTGCTGTGAAGTTTCACACTTGAAGGAGAGCATGTGTGTGGGAGAAGAGATACAGTGCCAGTTTCAGCTTTATTTACAAGGTTTGTTACAAGACCAGATTTCATCAGTATGTTTTAAACTAGTACTGGCTTGATGCAAGATCCTTTGCACAAACTAGGATTAACTCCCCTGACTGTGGTTCAGGCTCTTCTGTAGACTGTGGGAAGCGTTGCAGGTAGAGGGCTGCAGGACTGGACTTCCATTTCAGCAGTTTCACTGATTGTTCATGCAGTGATGTTAATTAACATTTAGTTAATGTATAATGATATAACATTAAATGGAAAGAAGTGCTTAGTTAAGCAAAATTGGGACAAAGTTGGTTAGCTTGTCAAATCACAAAGCTAATAGAGGAGGGGTTTCTGAACACAAGTTTCTGATTCTAATTCCACAACAGTATCAATATACATTCAGTAATTATCTTTGCTATCTCAGAAAGTCCTTTGGGAATCCTGTACCTAATTGTTTTCACAAAAAAACACCTGATAAATCAGATTAGCACAGCTTTGTCCTATCAGCTACTTATATGTTCTCAAACATATAGAACATCTGCTTTCTTGGTTGAGTAGTAACAAAAATTAACACCTCATGGAATGGTTTCTGTCTGGCTGAGAAGGTTGTAAGATAGTGTCACAACACTTAAATATAAGGTTTGGTATGATCTATTCATTAAATGTACACAAGTTCAGTTTGCCTGAACAAATCTGTGTGAAGGCAGCTCCTTGGCTCACGTGTAGCAGCCTGTTTCCAATTAGGGGCTGTCTGTTTGTCTTTGCTGCACTCCAGGCAAAGGGGCAGAAGAAGCATCTTTTGATTGTTCTCTCTTATGTTCAATACCTCGCCTCCATTCATCTGAATATGGTGTCTGTGAAAACCTGTTAGTTCCCATTTGCCTGCTGTCTGCTTCTGAGAGGTTATTATTTGACTCTATACCAAAGTCTTTCTCTCACTGCCAGGCATGAAGAGCTGTTCCTGTTTGCGTCTGTTCACATCAGCTCAGTTAACTGTCGTCTGTGCATCTCAAGAGCAGCTGAGTAGCGTCATTCAGCATAATCCATTTTGTGGGCATGTATCTTTGCTCACTCCTACAACCTTATCATTGTACTACAGTCCTGACCGAAAATGTTACAGGTTGCATTATGCCAGCCTCTTGTGGGCTTACAGTGGCTGTATCTAGTTAGCAAAAGATGCACCAAAAACAACATAGAAAACCACGGCCCCTTACAGACTTGAGCTGCAAAGCAGTTTCGCTCACCAGCCACAGAGTCTCTAAAAGGTGATGTGTCCTGAGCAGTCCATACCTGTCTCTTGAGAGCTGCCTGAGGGGAAGAGCTCTGCTTCTCCCTTGTATGATGACCTTTCCAGGGAGCAGAAGTACAAATATGAAGTGACCTTTGTTGTGTTCCTCATGCAAGAGAATCAGGGTCTCATTCACGATGTAAGGGACAGGGAGAAATGGATTAAGAGATTGTGGGGCAGAGATGCTTGTGTCCTGTTATTAAGTGAACACAGGCAGTCATTATTCTGCAAACCTTTGCTAGACTGCTGTTTAAGCGCCATTTACTGAAAATACCATGACAATGAAAGGGGTAAGTCATAGCCAGTAACTATAACAACACGCTTCTCCCGCACTGTACGGAGTGTCTCGGGAGAGGAAGAAATTACTCTGTTTACATGTGGAGCATATGAGAGCCAGGAGCATGAACCACCTCTCTCTAAAGGCTGCTACAACACATGATAGATGAGTGTGCTGAACAGTGATGTGTTCATGTAGATGTATTTCCTTTTAGGTTTACCTCCAAGCAAGGTTCACAGGCTATTTTAAGATCTTAACATGTCTCCTCAAATCTGTTCTGCCTGGTCCTGACAGTTTACAGCCATGGTTTTGTGGAGTGCTCTGCAAGTCTCTTGATAAAGCTGGGGAGAAGACTGCACCAGTTACAGCCAGAATAACTCTGTGGCTGTTTTGAAAGATACTGTCACCTATGGGGGATTTTGTGTTCAGTGAGAGAATCATCGTGGTGCAACCGTCCTACTTTTGCTGCCACGGAAAGACCATAGCGGTGTGCTTCTATCCCAGCAAAGAGTAAAGCCCAGACTTTAAAGGACCCATTCTGTTCTTCAGATCAGAGCTAACCTCTCCTCAAACATGCCACACAATGTGCTGAGGGGCACTCTCACTTTTTTTTTTACTGTCAGCGTGCAAGTGTGGTCCAGAGCACGACAGAAGCCGCCTGTGTGCAGAACACGTGGTACTGCAGGCTCCCACAGCCCTGCCCACCACCGCAGCGTAGGTACGAGCTTCGCTGACCACAGCAGGATGTGGTCTGGACCTGGCACAGCACTAAGAGCTGAATTCCCAGGGAAATAAAGGAATATTCAATTATCTACTCAAAATAGATTAAGTAGCAAAAGAGGTTCTCTAGTTCTGTGGTTTTTACACATTTGTACTTGTTACAGAATTTACTCCAATTAATCCTTTGAGCTATTTTTTTTTTTTTTTTTAAACCATAGTTCACTTTGTCCAGACACTTTGTGTTGCTGATTGGTCACTTAAATTGTAGGATAGTTTGTTCTTCCCCCAAACAGATAACAGACATTTGGAAAGCAAGCAGCCTGTTCATGAATATTAAGAGGAACAACAAAACAAACTAATATTCATAGAACCTGGAGGGTATGCAAGTGTTGCTTTTCATGCAGAGATTTGCAGTCAGTGAATATGTATTCTCCAGGAAATAAATGTGAGTCTAATCTGGTGCTTTAGTAGTTACTGTTTGCTTTTCAGGACAGTGAAGAGGCTGATACTGTACTGCATAGTGGCAGGAGAGTAGTATTTGTGTACTACAGACTGCTTGGCATGGCAATCGATACTCAGGTCTTCCACACGATGAGTGTCATGTTATTTAAATAAGACAGCAAACCACTGAATAATCATCAGAAAAAGTGAGGCTAGGTTAGAAACAGTAAATATCAGCACACACAGGTGCAGTATTGACTTGGGCCAAGGCTTACTGAATCAGGTGGCTCATCTCTTTTAGGGTAGGAATGTTAAACTGCAAAGTTGTCTGTGCATAGGACAGGTCCAATACCTACCATGGCAAAACAAGACTTTTTGTACTATTCTGTAGGCACATGTCAAAAAGAGAGATCTGGCTGGGGTCCTGTGGAGTTGGAATCAACAGGGAACTTGAAAGTACTTTTTTTTTTTATTCAGTACTACCATAGGAGCAAGGGAACGTATATATGAAGCCTGTTGAACAAATTCTCTTTTCTACTAAAATCTTCTGTCTCCCAATCTATTTGATGTTTTGAGTTTGGGCATTTTTTTTTTCCTA